CACTTTCCATAAAGTATTCTCTATGTTTACCTTACTAATGTCTCAAAAGCTTCTAGCTCAGCACAGGTCCCTTGCTAACCGGGAGAAATTTTGGCGAGTAAACCAGAAAGTTCAAGACATTAATGAAACTATATCTTAGATTAAAAACCAAGGAGAAAACCATTGAAATGTAATTCGCAAAGCAAAGGAAAAGAGAGCCGAGTGTAAATAATTTGAAAAGTTTCTAAAATACTTAGAACGAAATAATAACAACAACGACGAGGAGGAAACGCGAGAAGACGAGTTTACTACAAAAAATAATTTCGGTCAGCTTTCTCAAACGTGTAACCTATTGTTTTACGCGAGTTAAAAAGAAAGCTTGAGTTCAAAACATGAATGAAACTATGATTTTCTTAGACGACAAAACGAAAGATAACCTCGTTGAAATACAAGTTGCAAAGCGAAGGAAAAGGTAGCCGAGATGTAAGCTTAAATGTTTTGAAAAGGTTTTAAAAGCCCAATTATTCAATATTTCTGAAATGCCCAATTGGGATAAATTAATAGAATTTTAGTAAAATACTAAAAAAGACATGACTGAACCTTTGAATGATTTTTTAGTTGAACTTTGTAAACTGAAATACTTTTTGGAATTTTGTAAATCGAAACACTGTCCTGAACTTTGTAAACTGAAATATGTTTTAATTGAAACCAAATTAATTGAAAATCTAGGTGTGAATATGATAAACAAAAAAAACACCTCGGTAAGTGCTTTGTGCAGTAGATTTTTATGATATTTAACAACTCGCGAATAAAACCGTACGCGCGCACTTTCCATTAAGTAATCTCTAAGAACGGCACTAAACTTTTAGATAAAAATAAAAATTAAATGGCAAGTGCCAATACAAACCTAACCCATTCGCCGATATTACTTGTATATAAGGTTCGAACTCGTTCTCGAGCCTTGGATAAGGTAAAAACGGAGCGAGAAGAAACACATCCGATGTACGGCGAACAGCAACAATGTTTAAAGTAATGCTGTTTCACGCTTTTAAAAAAGCGCGTGCATTTTGACCCGTGCACGTGGTTGAGCGACACGAGACACGTGACACGATCGTACAATCAAATTCCCTTATTTTCCCTGATTTTCTTAACCGGAAGTCGCACAAAAACATGAGTTTGAAGCATTTTACCAAATACCCACAGGGGGCCACTTGTCTTTCATTGCTTACGAAAAAGTCTTGTCGCTCCACCAGTTTTATATTATTTACCGCTGTACATAATATTTAAAGTGCATATAACCTTTATAGGATTATGATCAATTTTGATTTTCTGTGTGTTGGAGATGAATAAACAAAAAAAATTTTTCCATTGACTAAATATTCTCGGAGATATAACGCCCTAAAGTACGCAGTTTTGCTACGCCCCATCAATTTGGACGGGATAAAGGGAAACTGAGACCGAGCAGAGCTCGCTGAGTGATGACGTCTAGATGTGTTGTTGCTGGGTGCTCAAACACCACAGATTTTACGAAAGGTACATACTTGCATAAGATCCCATTTCATAACGACAATCGCCCAGAAGCAAAGATGGATTGATTTTGTGAAGAGAAAGCAAGCAAATTTCAACCCCTCGGCTACCTCCGTCATATTTTTTACACACTTCCTATCAGAGGATTATAATCAGAGATTTGATTTTGTCTCGTAAAATCGTCCTCAGTTAGTTAAAGATGAGGCTGGGACTAAGAATAAGTTTAATGAAGAATATTCTATTGAAAAATCGGGGCCGACCACGTTCGACCTCTGATATATATATATATATACGCCTCTTGACACCTGTTGCCAAGTAGAGTATACATCGGAAAGCTTTACTCTTTGATGACGAAAGGAAAGATAGTTCCGCATTAAAGATAGTGCATCGTCACTCAAACCGTAGAACTTTAGTGATATGCAGTCAAAAGTCTTGCTCAAACTAGCTGTTGAATATATTTGACAAGTTGTTTTATTGGACAACTAGCTGTTGAATGGGACAGCAAATTGACATCGCCCTTTTTTGAAATGGTTTCCTTGAGTGCTCAAAAAGTCAACAGATTTCGCTAGATTTTGTCTTTTTACACAGCAAAAAGGGTCGTAATTTTAAAAGCTTGATTACTAAAGGTAACAACGAGGAATCTTCGTTGACAGAATATGTCTTTTGTCTGTTTGATTGGACAAGCAGCTGTTGAAAGCGACAGCTGATTGACATCGCACTACTTTGAAATGGTTTCCTTGAGCTCAAACAGTCAACATATTTAGGTTTCGCTAGATTTTGTGTTTTTACACGGGAGATTGGGCTGCCTGTGGTCACACTGCACATGATTTATCTGCAGGGCCAGCCTGATTCGCTAGATTTTGTCTTTTTGTACGGGAGTTAAACTCATCACAGTAGATGAGCTTGGCGTTAGTGCTTATTACTCGGGCTACCTGTGGTAAGCCCGAGTTTAGCTTTCGGTTTTCTATACAAGTAAGCTTGGCACGTTCCACCAACGTATGGTGACCCCACGTCTGTGGCCCCACACCTCTGGTGGCCCCTGTCCCATTTTCTCCGCGGCAATACAACCTGTGGTTACGAAACTTGGCAGGGATGTAGTCACGTGTCCTGTCAGTCACCCCAACGATTTTGGGTGTATGACGTCACATATCA